CAGCACTGACCCCACAGGGGAGGCCGTGCTCTGGTACAGCTGCTTTGTACAAAACCAACCTCAAGGAGAAGCACAGGCCAGGCTGAGAAATCCTCTTGCTTTACAATAATGATTATTGTAATGCAAAATTGCTAACACACCCAAAGGACAAAGCTGCAAATCCTTACTGGTTAAACAGAATTATCCCCAGACACTGAAATTTAGGTTTTGAAATACTTTACTATTAATTTTCTGCTGAATTGCCCCACATACATCCCTCATCCTTTTTCCACTCTGTCAGCTGCACAAGGATATCAGCCAACAAGAATATAGGTATTCCTAAATCCCCAAATTACTCTGTGGAAAAAATAAGTGAAACCAGTGGAAGAAATATTGTTTATGGGAGCCACTTCAAATGTACAACAGATCACTCCTTCAGGAAGAAAAAGGTTTTTCATGCAGGCAAATCCCAAAAAGAGAAGCAAGGAGCAACTGGATAAGCTCTCCTGGATAACCACAGCTGGGATTGTTGGAGTACATGGGAAGGACAAAAGAAAAAGCCCAGTTAGAAATTTCATCTTCAACAAGGCAGACCTCCAGCTCCAGCAAATCCTGCTGACAAAAAAGTCATTGTCCACCTGCAGCCCCAGTAAGGAGGCACAGCTGATGTGCCAGCACACAGGACAGTAGCACTGGGAGGAGTGGAATGCTTCTCTTCCCCACTGCTCTGCTTTCCCTTCCAGTATAACCAGTTGGGGGTTTATTCTGGTTGGAACATCTGAGAAAATTGCCAGCTGTGCCTGTGGCAGTGCAGAGGGGTCAAGCCTGAAGGTGACACAATTAGGCACTGAGTGATAGATCACAATCCACAGAAAATGATCCTCATTTACACCAGCCATGGCAATACATCAAAGCTTTTAGTTCTCTGGGAAGATGAGTAAGAGCTGATTATGACTGTCACAGAGAGGACAGATCCTACCAGACACAAAATAATTCCCTGCTCTTAAGGCTGAGTCCTGGTAGCCATTTTCTTCACAACAACAGGAACACTTACACAACCCACAAACAAACAACAATCCCAACATTATAATCCCCCAAAATCTTCATATGCCACATGTACTGCAGCCACCTTAAAAATAAACATGCAAAGAGAAACACTGCACATTTTGTCTCTTCCCATCCAAGATAAAAGCAAAAAAAAAATTAAAAAAATATAAAATTCTAACCCTTAACAGGGAAACTAAAAATCTACCTAAATAAGAAAAAAATCTTAATTTCAAGGTTTTCCAAAGGGCAGGAAGACCCTATGATGTGCCCCATTACTCAAAAGTGCTTTTTCTTTTTCAGCCAGATTGTTCAAAGTGCACTAATTTTAAGAGCACAAAGAATTGTCTTTTATAAGTGAATAAACAGCTGCAACAGAGCAAACAGTTAAAAATAAATATTTCTTCCTTATCCCATTGAAAGAGGTAATATCACCTTTGTGTTTTTACACTAATATAATATTTTAAAATCTGTTCCATCAGAAGCTGCAGATATTATTGAACTAAGTTTACTAAAGAGGACTAAAATGTACAAACAACATTAGCATTAATAGAACATAAGCAATATTTACTGCAGTTTATTTAATGGCCTCTGCATTAATAGTCCTTGAAATGCACTTTCTCTCTGTACACAGCATTAGGAGTGAAGTAATAGCTGTTTACAGTGCTGAAAAGCTTCTGTACTGCTTTTATTTCTGAACAGTTGGGTTTTTCCATAGGATTTAAGGTCTCTGTGGCCCACAAAGATGGGCTATACAGGATACCTAACAGGAAACATAAGCAAACATTAAGCATTTGAAGATTCAGTCAATCAAATATTTCACATTATCAGAATTCACAAATGCACATCTCTCTCTGATTATGTATTGTACCACAAAAGAGACCAAAGGTCTCATAAGTATGAGCCTCTGCCCAGAGCCAGTATAAGGCTGAAAGTACTTTTGGTGTTTTGGGTAATAATTGTGATTTAAAGTCCTCTTCTCTGTATTCTCTCCTCGCAGATGGATACAAAACTTGTCTGAAGTTTTCCAATTATTAAGATGAAAACACATTAAAAATAATAAATTCATCAAAGTAAAAAAAAACAACAAAAAAACCAAAACCAAACAAAAAAATCCCAAAACAAAATGAAAAACCCCACCTTCCATAAATTTTAGGGTGGGGGTTTGAATTTTTAATCCAAATTAGTGAAACAGCTTGGACATCTCAATCCATGCGTCTGTCGAGACAAGCACAAGATAATGTTGAACTGACTTCTGCTTTGATCAGGGACTATCAAAGGGGCTCTGTAGAGTTAAGCTTAAAATCCCATTGAAATTTAATAGTTGGGACAATTTAAATGCCTTTGACTCCATCATAGTACTAAATCTACCTTTTTTTTCTTGGCTGTCAGAAGACTTGAGCTATTTCTTTCTAGTACTTGAAAAAACAAAGGCAAGTGACATCTAAACATAATCAACACATGCCAGCATTCAATCTCTCAATAACAACTTAATAAACCCATCATAACTAAAGCCAGGTGAGTAATTTAATGCTAATTATTTCCAATTAACTGCTTTTAAACAAAAAAGAAAAGTGAAAATTTAATGTTTTTTTTATCAACTATGAATACTTCCAATTTGCAACTCAGAATAATCATTTTGACTTTCAGTGGTGTTTATATAATATTGACCAGCTAATTTAAAATCAAAATCCTATACAATTTCCAACTAGATGAATGACAGACCCTCAGTTCCATTGTAAGCTTTGCTCAAATGTCAACTTTAGACAATTTCAGATAACATACTCCAATGCAAAAAAAAATAATAAAAAAATAAATCCAGAAGCAGAGGAGATGCAGAGGAGGAAATTTTTTCTGGGTTTTTTTTTTAATACATTGTTATCTTTTCATCAAATCCCACATATACAGAGACTTTTGTCTTTGAGAAAATTAGCACTTCATTTGTGAGGAAAATAATTCTCACTTAAACTTTAATTTTTTTAAAAAAAAGGAAAAAAAAAGCTGTTTTAGTGCTTGTTCTTCTAACAGTTTGAGGTCAAGCCAAAAAAAACTCTGAAGTCCCATCCCCAGAGATGAGCACACTGCCAGTCCCAAGTGCCTGGTGTCGAGCCTGCTCCTGCCAAAGGCACCAATGTACCCTGCCAGGCACTGCTGACCTGTGCCAGACAGAGCCATCTCCTACTCCCCACCCTGGAGAGCCAAACCCCCAAGAGCTCAGCCCATGAGAGGTGTAATTCCCAGCTGGAGGCACTGTGCCTCATGCCTTGCTCCCCCCACAAGGAAAGGGAAAGCCAGCCTCACTGCTGGCCAGGTTTGCTCCACAGCCAGGTGTCTCCTCCTCGGGTCTGCCTCCACCACACCTGTGGGGTAGCACTCCCCAGAGCACTCCTCCTTCCCTGCAGGACCTCCACAATTCTTCCCTGAAAAGCAGAGAAGGGTTTGCCTTTAACAAGCCACACAGGTAAAGGGATTACATGATAAAGAGTAATTAAATTGACAGTCTAATTTAACAGTTTCCATTTTGCGTGCTTCCACTGCGTGCTGTTTGAGTTCTTAATAAAAGGTTTAATACACTTTTCATGGCACTTAATACTGTGGAACTAAGCAGCTTTATAACTAAAGGTCTGGGACTTGCCCAACCGTTTAATATCCAGGCTGACACTTCAGGATGCTTCTTTTGCAGCCTCATGGCTTTTCATGGCAAAATACCTATGCCCTATTGGAAGCTTTGTTCTGGGACCAAGCAAGCTGTTTACCTGTCCCACACTCTGGCACTGGCTCTCCCTCTTTGTGAGATCTTTCTCCTTTCCTGCCTTTCAGCACCATTTTCTGGATGTGACATTCCAGCCCTCAGAGGTGTAGCACAACATCCAAATCTAGCTGGGCAGGGCACAGAGGAGTTTCACCTTCTGTGCTCCCACAGAACATGGCCAGACACTCCCTCCAATCCAAACCCCTCTTTCTGTCCCCAGGCAGGTGGTTTCTCTCTGAAAGTTGTTCAGATATTGTCTCACAATGACTGAAGTTACTGACTGCACCAGCCTTCAGAGCAGCCCAGGGATGATCAGCAGCTGCATTGAGCTGTCAGGAGCCAAAAATGACATGTCTGTGGATTAATGGCCTGGCCTGTCAGGATAGCATGTATTTGCTGTGTGCAGAAGATGAAACACCTACTTTCCAAAAAGCAAGATTTGCTTTACAATAGACCTCTGCATTGCCCAGAGCAGCGATATTTTTCTGTCGCTGAATGTCAACAAGCTACAGTCTGGAGTAAAATACGGTTTACTGAGCCACTGAATTGATAGAGCTTCATATTCCTCTGTGGCAGATGTTACAAATATGCAGACAGACAGTCCTTATTGATCCAAATGGTTTGCAGAAACTCCATTTGAAAGCATATGTTTCTCTGCTTGACATTTTGACATGAATGACAAGACAAAACTAGGAATGCAAATGCACAAGGAGAAACTGTTCTTGTGCTATAAAAGCACATTCCTCCTGCCAAAGAGTTGGTAAATGTTGCACAACTAATCACAGACCAGAAAGACGTGTGAGCTGACCTACAGACACAGAACAGGAGGGGAAATCTGACAGCACGAACTTAAAACAGCCTGACAGGATCTGCACAGCCCAATACAACCACTACTTGTTCTCTCCCTGTGCCAGGAAAAAGTCTAACAACAACTTCTACTACATAAAATCACATGAATTTCAGGAAACCTTTAGGTAAACAATGACAGCAGCATCCAGCAACTCAAGCACTCCCTGGTCCATAGGCCAGGGTGCATTCATACTCCAAATAAAGCATTTTTGCCACTTTATTTCCAGGCCTCACCACCCCTTGTTGATGGTCCTCAGCACTCCTCTCTGGAGACCTGCAGAGCCCAGCTCCTCCCCCTGCTCTCCAGAGTCACCTCTGTTTCCTTTGCCCAGCAGCTGCCCATGGCAGTGCTGCTCTGGAGCCCCCTGCTCCCACAGCAGCAGGCAGGAGCTCTCTGGGAAGCTTGCAGCAAACACTGCCTTCAAATGCCACCTCCCTCCTCTGTGACCAGAGCTGGCAGCTCTGCTGCCATGCTAGTGTCTGCTAGACTGGAAGCTGAAAGCTCTCAGGACACCAAAGTACCCTCCTAAAAGATTCTCACCATCATCCAAGCTGGCTTTAGAATCAAACAAATCATTTCAATACATTTTCCTGGCCAGCCCTGAAGCAGCAGCTGAAATTAAGGCACTACTAAATTTCAACAGCCTGTAAATGCTGTACCTGCCCACACCCAGCACTTGTCAGGAGCTCCTCCTGTCCTGCTTTCTGCCCAGCAGCAGCAACAGAGCCAGCCCTGCAAAGCAGCATCTTCCTCACACATAGGCAAAACCCAGAGCACACATGGACACATTGCACTGCCTCACCCCTGTCCCTTCTGCTGGGGGCAGTGGGCAGCAGCCAGGACCAAGCCCACTGGAATCCCCAGTAATGCCCCAAGATGAAAAAGGGTCTGCAACCTGTAACTACAGCCACTACAGCTGAGAGAACACAGGAACACCTCAGTGTCTGCTTCCATTTACTTGCAATTATGCATTTCAGTACTTTGGTGGGCTGGCATGTTTTGCTTCTGGTAAATATTTATTTTGACAGAATTGCTTCAATATAAATCATATAAAAACACATTAAACAAAAGTCAATTTCTTTTCTTCTGATATATAGAAAAAGCTATTTAAATCTGGTCTCTCTCTCCGCAGTTGTCATGGTGCATAGACTTGCAGTTCAGTGTAGATCTCGGTGTAGGTAGAGCACTCAAGACTCAAGGTTAACTTAAAGCAGCTGAGTAGTACCAGGGAGGTCAAAGAGCTCACTCACCTGCTTAAAATTAGGAACACATTTAATTTAAAACGTTCATTTTTAACTCCAACATCAATCCCTTTTTTTTCTTTTAGCTGCAATTCTCACCCAAAGTGTAGGCTCTGTTGTGTTCTACTTAACTGCTTTGGAAATAATCCCATCAGAAAAAAAAAAAAAAATTTACACAATAGAAAGAATTTTAGAAAAATACTAAAATGTAGAAAAATTTCCAGGATGCTTCCTTTAATGACTAAGTGACTTTTTAGAATCCAGTCTAAAAGCAGACTGATAACTACCTACAGCTGTAAGTAATAAACACTCAGGGGTCCCATAGCCCCTCCTATACAGTTTTCATTATGACACTATAACAAAGCAGTTAAAAATTTAAACAAAATTCTTTATCTTGAAAGTAACTTGGGCACACAATGAGCTGTGGAGTTTTCACCTAGAAACTATAGTCACATGTAGTCTATTATTCAGAAGTCAAGTTCTGTCCCAGCCACTCATACAAGCATTTAAAACTTCAGCAAAATAGGCTGAGATTTTTTTCTTTTAATTTTTGTTCAAGCTTTTTCCTTACCTTGCCGTGTATTCATGATTCTGAGGACTTCTCCTCCTCCTCCTTACGTGACATAGAGACCAAACAGACCTCCTCAAAACTACAGAACTTTATAACTGCAACAACAGAACTAGTTACTGAAAGATAAGGCATCTTTCAAAGAAACCTATAAAACATAAATTCAAAAAGACAAAGTATCCTGGTGCAAGGAATCACCCAAGGACACAAAGCAACTCTTTCACAGTTGTGCTCTACTACAACAGAATGTGAAGTTTCTACCAGCATTAATTGATTTCAAAGAAAGCTATCAATTTCAGTAGACACAAAAGAAAATAATTTAGGTAATGTACCTGAAAGTGTAGAGTTAATATAAACAAATGAGAAAAACTCTAATAAAGCTGTTAGCAAACTTAGGAGAAAATGAAATTCAGTAAAAAGCTAAAGCTTTATGCATTAGTTGCTTCTCTTCTTGGTTACCTTGAAAGCTTGGGGAACCACACTTCTATTCTGCTTCCCTCCAACACCAGAAAAAAAGCACCATCCAAGTTCAGAGACGTGTGCAGCTCAGAGCACAAAGCCCAAACTCTTCCTCACAGCCTTGGAAGTGAGAGCTTTATGGGGAGCTGATTGGAGCTGATTGCAGCTGATTTGTCCCAGCTGCAAACCTAAACAGCCCTTGGGAGCGTCTCCCAGCAAACAGCCCACAGCTGCTTTGGGTGAAATCACTGATTAAAGCTGATTCTCCCCAGCTGAGCAACAATCAAGCCAAAAAACAGGCACCGCCAAACAAATAATTTCAACTCTTAAATAATATAACAACTGTTTCTGGTAGAACAAATGCTGTTTTTATTTGTTTCCTAAAAATTAAGAAAAATAATAATTAGCTGAGGCAACTGCTTGTATGATGGGAATTGAGGCTTCTCATACAAGTAACACAGCTTTACTAAACATGAGTTGTAACCATCCTTTTTTTCCCTCCCCTTTCACCACATGTCAGTTTTTACCTTTGATTTTGCCTTTCTTCAGAGTTTTCTTCTGACTTTCTCCTTGCCTTTCCCAGGATGATGCCAAAGGATATGGTTTGTCTGAGAAATTTCCAACAGGGTCCCCCAAATATGTTGTTTTCAGATTTATGTCACTCTTTAGCTGCTCACAATGTAAGTTCAAGTCAGTAAAGCAAAATAAAGAAAATAATGAGGTCTGAACATTGTGGTTGTTGTACCACCCCACTAACATGATTTTCTATGAATGCTCCGCTTGTCACCAACCCAACAGCTTTAAACCTATCTCAGAAGAGAGCTGTTCTGATATTTAAACAGATTTTAGGAAGAACTTTCTTTGAGCAATCCCAGCATAAAGTTTAAACTGTAATTCATGTTACATGCTCAAAATTTCAATGAAGTTCCTCTTTCAGGTTATTTTTTTGAGACGTTTTCCTTTTGAGAGCTACCCCTGAATACCAGTTTATGGAAAGCAATGCTCTTGAGCCCAATATTAAGAGCTAAACCTTCACCTGCTGAAAGTCAGTATGCCTGACCCATTCTCTGGAGGGAAGCTGATTTACACAGGTGAGAACCCAGGTTTAAGTGGTTTATTCTATCAGCAGACTAAGAAAAAGTGAGTTGTTTTGCTGAGACTTCACCTACAATGTAGCAATGTTTATCAAAGCAAGGCAGATATTGGGAACTTCACTTTGCAAGACAAGTATTGCACACATGTAGTTGTAACTCAGCATAAAAGCATTCTATCAAGTTTCAACTCTGAAATGAAAAAGCACAATTACTCTTTTTTTTTTCCCCATTGCAATAGGAAAACATGACATACTAAGAAATAAGAGCAATGCATTCTTCAGATTGAAAGCAGATTGCCCATGGATTGCAAGCAAATAGAAGAAACTGAGTCACATTTTTGTAAGAAAATAATTTCTAAACTAATGGGTTGATAGAACAAGACACTCTAGAAGTGCTGTGCCACAGATATCACTTTTGTGAAAGCTCATCATCAAAAGAGCACAATAAAAGGAAGGTACATTTCATGTACAATCACCTTTGCAATGTAAACGTTCCAGAGGAGTTGCACGATTTGGGATCATCCATTATTCCCTGTTTTAAGTACACTCGGGGAAGTTCCAGTTGAAAAACCAGAACACAGTTTGGTCTTCAAAGTTTTCAGAAACTTCTGCAGTTTTTCTATTTCAACTTGCCAGATATTAAAGGTGAAGGGTCAAATCTGCAGGTGGTGTAAATAAGCACAGCTCTGTGAGAGCTTTCACCTTATGCTCATTTACATCACATGGAAATTATATTTCTCACTTCTTCTGTGAGTAATTGCACATGTATATATATATATATATGCATGTGTGTGGTGAATACATATTATATAGAAAGTGAATGCTTTGATCTGTCAAAAGGAAGGTACAAATATAAAACAGGAGACAGTATATGAAAATCATACATTCTGCATTTACTTTCAAAACTTAAAGTTATGGGGAATGAAACAGTGTTTATGTTCAAGGAGAACCTGGTGATTTGCTTAAATAATCTAAAACCAGACCTAGCACATGAAGGACAGAACAGCTTCCTGTCAGGGCTGACAGGCCCAGGCTATGACTTGGTAACTTTTATATAAACAAGTAATTGTGAGACAGTGAGAGATCCATTGCAGATTACTAGTTTTTCAGTGGAGACCCTGGTGCAGCAAAGCACTCAAAGCTTAAGTTTAACTTAAAGCAGCTAAGTAGTCCCAGGGAGTTTGGCCAGCTCATTCACCTGCTTAAAATTAGGCACATATTTAATTTGAGATGTGTGTTTTAACTCCATCATCAACCAGCAATTCACTTCACCTGTGCATAAAGCAGGTGCTCCCTATAGGGCTCACACATGTTGAAATACTTTTCTGAAAGAGGGCTGCGTGGTTTGATTCCTCAAGATCCTGCTTATCTTAGATGTAGTCCTGCAAAGCTTTCAAACAGGTGAGTCATATCCTGTGCATGAGAATAAAGGAGCTCTAACATTGCTTACAAGTTAAAACTACACTTCCAAACTTTACAGCACGTAGCAAGAGTAAGCCAGGAGAAGAACACTGAATATGAAGAATGCTTAAGTTAATCCCCAAAATATATTGTATTCACAATTTATTCCACAAGTGCAGGTCAGTTAAAATTACAGTGTTTTAGTCTAGAATATGAAAAAATCTAATGTGAAAGCAAAGATGCCTCAGTAATAGAGGGTTTCAAGCACCTGCTCTGGGCTTTGCTGCAGCAGCTCAGCAGCATGTTTTGTGAGTAACAGCATGGCAGCATCTCAGGAAACCTCCAGCAGGTTTGTGTGCCATAAGAGAGTGCACCCTCGTAGCCACTTAAGCACCTCCTTGCACCTTTTCTGCAGCACATCCTTCTTCTGCTGCTAAAATCTTAAAGTAGTCATGAAACAAGAGATTTTTCCAGAGCAAATCCTTGCACTCTTTCTCCAAAGAATATTTACAGGTTCCTGTGTGTGCGTAGTCATTTAGTGCAGCTGTTTCTGCCATAAATAATTAGTATATTTATGGAAGAGATTTTTTTCCTGTGGCCATAGGTTTGTTAAGACAACAAAAAAAATAAAATATGACTAAAGGAGAAAAAACAAAATCCAAAATTTTTGTGGGACAAACTTCTAAGCAGCATAAATCTAGTCAGCTTTATTATTAATTTTTAATTAGTGTGAAGCAAATAGTGCAATTTGTGCCAAGTTACAAAACTGCATCATCTTCATGAGGAACCAATTTATCAGAGACAAATTAATCCCTCCAAGAGTACTCATTCTGTAAGCCCACCATCAATATTCCTCATTTAAAAAGTGGTAGGCTGAGTATACTCTTCCATAAGGCTGGTTTTATGTCACAGTTTGAGTTTTCCTCCCTACTGCTTGAAGTAGAAATGTAAAAATGTGGGGACTTTAATCACCCCATAAATATACGTGTCGTGTAATTATGCAAATCAAATTAGGAGCAGTGAATGGAATGTTTATTTATCTAAAAACCTGACCCAGACTGCCTGCTGACTTTCCTGGGATGTGAACGCATTTTTACTTCTGTTCAAACAGAATTTTTCACCCTAATGTAGACAGTGATTTTGCTGCACCAGGATCTACAGCCTTTTCCAAATAGCAGTGTTCTAATAAAAGGAAGAAATCCAGCTACAACGGGAAATTACAACCTAGTATTAGGGATACATTTGAGAAGACGCTAAATTATCCCAATTTTGAAAGAGAGTGATGGTCCATGAAGAGTAGGAGGGGGGACAGAGATCCATTATGTTTGGCATTCAAACTTCTGGTTGGGAAGGAAACAATGTGTTAGAGTTTGGTTTTTTCTTGTCATACGACATTGCACTGGTAATATTTGCATGACAAGAAGTTAAATAAACTATATGTGTTGCTCTATCTTTGTCCTGTGTGTTTCACAGATTAAAAAAAAAAAAAGAAAAAGGTTTTGTACAGCTATTTCTATCTGCCATGATACAGACCTGGCCATTAAAATGTTTCTCTTTACAAAAATCAATGGAAAAAAAAAGCAGAGCTGTGCTTATAGTCTTGTCATTCAGGGATATGACTTCAACAGGGAGCATTGCATCCATTATGCAACAAATTCTGTGAAATCTTAAAGAAAGAGATGGCACCAGAGGGCACAGTCACTGCAGTGCCATTATCTCCTGCCTTTACAGTTCCTCCTTGCCTCACTCCATTGGTTCCTCCCCATTTTCAGTCATGTACACAACAAAAAAGAGCTGAGCAGTTTTTCTTAAAAGCTTTCCCCTTAATCTAAAACCTGCTGTTCATCAAAGCATTTATATATATAATATATACGTCATATATATAATATATATTATATATATATATGTATAACAAAACACAGAAAGTTAAAGAGCCGCACAGACATCTAAAGACACAATCCAATAATCCTGTGCTTAAATTTAGAAACGGTGTGGAAGTTTAAATCCTTGTTAGAAGGAAGATGTTCTCTGCTTACTGTTTGTTGGATTTGAGTTATAATTCACCTTTAAAGTGTTTTTTACTGCTATGCTAATACCAGCTGCTAAGTTCTCTGAGTGAATTGTCATCTTGGCTATAAAACAGGGTTCTGGGAAAAGGAGAAATCTGAGTATGGTGAATTTTTCTAGCAAGAAACAGATAATATTTTTTTCTCTTAAAAAAACCATACCTGTAAGGGAAAAAGTGTTGAAATCCATGGAAAAAAAGAAAAGTATGGCCCTCAGTCCCAGTAACAGGTCTTCTTTGGCACTTGAGAACGACCACAAGTAGTTTGCCTTTTTATTCATATAGAACAAAATTTACAAAGTCATTCATACATTTTTGTTTGTTTTTTGTTTTGTTTTTTACTTACTTCGAAAATTGGGAATATTCAAAATACACTTTTACCCCACTTCATTCTTTCATTATTTACAAGTATATACAAGAAAAATGTAAGAGTTTTTTTTTCTTTTTTCTTTTTTTTTTTTTTTTTTGTGTGTTTCTTTTAAATTTTGTATTAAAAATCTCTGCTGGTTGTTTGTACTGTTTGTTTTCGTCATATGGATGTTCCATGCGAGGGCTCCATTGCTTCTGGAATGACTCCCCCTGGCACGG